GTATTTTCTCTGATTGCAGGATGACAGTAAATGCAGTCAGACTTCTGACACAGAACTGTGAGAATGTGTGTGACAGACAAGGCTAAGAAAGGAAATGACATCATTAGGTGAATATCCCCGATATTGGCAGGATTAAAGGGCAAAGGGACCAAAACAAATTCAAGAAACATCAAACGGACTCCATCTCACAAACAGCAGACCTGTCCAATGTCAACTGTCACTTAACCCCCCCCCCCCCCTTATACCCCCCCCCCAACACCACCACAGTGGGCTCCAGCAGCAGGTCAGGGGTGGAGAGGGAACTTAATCAAGGGTTCTCCTGTTACAAAAGCCCCTGTACTCCTCCTGACAAGCAACAGCAGGCCAACAGAGAGGCGAGTCCACAAAATGGGGCTGAATCTGTTATTCAGAAGAGCTGATGATAACTGGTGGTCATTACTGAACTGAACAGTAGAAGAACTGAACAACTGACAATGGGGCTAAAAATAATAAAACGTAAAATGTATGTTGTCACAAAAAAAAACCCTTATCTTTATTAAAAAAAACAAACAATGAGAAACCCGGAAACCAGATTCGACACAAAAGGAGCCAATTACTGACACTGCCATTACAACAATAGGCCTCTCTTCAAGTACACCAAGCAGCAGCATAGTTTTATACAGAGTCCCATGGTCTGTTTTACTATATAAAGTACATGAGACTGACACAATAAGGAAACAGCAAAAAAAAAATGTTCTCGCAGGAACAAGTTGTGTACAGAAACACAGACAGCTGTGAAACTGGGACTGTTCCCACTGTGTATAATTCTAAACCATTTCCATCAGCCACATACATGGCATCATTTTCTGAAATACAAATAGAAATGAAGCCCATTGAAAGTACTAAAGGAGTTCATAAATAAAGAAGCAGGAGGCTGTTGAGATGAATGTGCGGCCATGTTCTTCTGGTGCTGTTTTCTCACCAGCTTGTGTCAGAATATCTCGGCGTATGGATGCAGAGGCAGAGGAATCATTCAATGATTCATATTTATGAGCTCCTCAATTATTCACAGGGTGGGAATAATTAACGAGGCATTTGGAGGGGAAGGAGTTTATTTTAGATTTTCATGTGTTTTTGGAGAGCATTCAGAGATTTTCATTTTCAAAGGTAAAGGTAAAGGTAAAGGTGAAGACGGAGACAAATGGACGGAGCTCACTGGGCAGCTCTAATTTTTGCTATTAAAGAATCTGCAGAACTATTTTATAATTTGCATAATTATAAAACAGTGATATTGACACATTACTACAAATCAAGAAGTCTTTTAGTTAGATGTGTAAAAACATGCAAGGTTAACTGTCACTATAGAAGCAACTCATTAGGTTTAATCATAAATTGTTTATTTTTTTCAAATTTTAATGTTTTATTCATATTCATATTTTATTTTTTTAAATCTTAATCCTCAATGAAGATGCTACTTTCTTTTGTATACTGTTCACGCTGTATTGCATCTTCATCCACATCACGGTGTAACTCAGAAATGATTCATTTAAAACCGGCAGAATAACTTAGAGCTTTAAGGGGTACAGACAGTATATGTGGATGTGCTGCTCAGGTCAGTAATGTTATTATTGGTTATTAATTGGTTCCTAGTTAGTGTCTGAAATATTCACCAATGACATTAGTAGCATTACTTCATTACAGTTTAGTACAGCAAATGTAATGCAGTATATTTTGTAGATGATGTTTTTACCCCATTAGGACAGATCCATGTCCAAATCAGAAACATTCAGACTGCAGGATTTTCAAAACATTTTAAAGTCTTCAATTGTTTTAACTGGATAATTCTTGTACGTTGTATTCAGTGCAACATGTTCCTGTCAAGAATCTGCTGGCACCGAACCACTGCATTTGTTGTTGTGGTATTTTAGACAATACATCAGTAATAAGTACTGCATACTTAAGTCATTGTTTC